GACATATTTTGAATGATTGTTAAGTCAGTGTTTATAAAGTGGAGAAGTTGGTTGATTTTGTTTAGCAGTATATCAATACCTTTATGGGTTATTTAATGCCGAAATCTAAATAGTTTAAACACAATTTTATGGCTTCAACTAAATATATTTTGAACGCAATTGTATGCCTTCAACTACAGGTAAAATGTATTGTTGGTCATTTCGCTATAAAATTGTATTGTTGATAATTCTACTATAAAAATGTATATTCATACTTTCATATGGTTTTCCTTTTGTTTTTAGTGTTCACTATTTGTCCATAGCTGAGATCCTAACAGGTGCTACCAACCCGGATCAGAGTGGAACTAGGAACAACTGCAATTAAGAAGTAATTCCACACTTCTCAAAACCTCCCGATCAGTGGCCTTGCTGCCGGATGTAGTTTATCGTTAGAAATATGAAGGGAATGAGGGTGGTTCGCTACAATGGGCGTGGCATGGCGGGTCTTAGTCGTGAAGGTTAGAACTGGTGGAACTAAATATAGTTCTTCTGAGCAGTTTTCATGGTAATAGTGATAGAGCGGCGAGAGGCTTGCGACGTTTCGTCTTTGAGGAAAGGGCTTGTAGGATGGGAAATGATTCTTCTCTCACAAGGACTCGGAGACGCTTTTGGACTCTATCAAGACTGGAAAGGGAAGACTGGGCAGCTCCAACTTAAATATGGAAACAGTCCTACATTTTCGGCCTGATTGGGATCTTGTAACGGTAAAGGATAGGAGGAGGAGTCAGGTACTTACTGGAGCAGTACAGGGAGCCGACCATTTTTCCAGCGATGGATCGTATGTACGAACTCCAGTTGTTTGTTCCAATAGACGCTCAACCATTCACTGGGATTGATGATAGTCCAGGTTTTAATCGGTGATGATGGAATATAACTACTTTTGTTTTCGAGGCATTGAATGTAACCAGCCAGATTTCCCTCACGTAACCAGCCAGATTTCCCTCGGATGCGAAATCAGCTGCCAATCTCTGGTCATCTAAAGTTTGCAAAGTGCACACATATACCACTGTATCATCAGCGTAGATATTCACAAAGGATCGGAGTATACTCTTAGGCAGATCTTTTATATAAAGTAAAAAGAGTTTTGTTCCGAGAAGCGACTTTCGTGAACGCCTGCGTTGATTGCTAGGGTCCCGGGGGACTGGCCGTCAACAACTACCTTTAGTGATATAACCGTTAGGAAGGACGTTATAATTGAAAAAAAAATCTTCCAGTGATTCCATAGCCACAGAGCTTGTGCAACAATCATTTACGCCACACCTTTGAAATATCTAATGCAATGGTCCTTGAGATATTTGTTATCTAGTGCCTCACCGATTCTGTGAGTAATGGCAGATAGAACATCAGCAGTGGATCGGGCAGATCGAAACCTGTACTGCTTGTCGCTCAAGAAGTTCCTTTTTAGGTGATCAGCAACCTTCTTGTTGATTATAGCCTCAAAAAGCTTGCTAATGAAACAGTAGACTGATGGGTCTATACCGAGTAGGGGATGATCGCTCCCTCGCGTTCTTGAAAACCGGGCATACTCTTGACACTTTCCACAGATTTCTCCTTAAGCAGCAGTTAAATAATTTCGCTAAGAGCGAGGATAGTTCCGGGTCAATATTCTTAAGGACAACCACTTGGATTTTGTCTGGACCAATGGTCTCCTTCGAGTTAAGACTTTTGATAAATCTTGAGACTTCCCAGGCTTGTAATAAAAATACTAATGAGATTGTGCTTTGTGAGACTGGGTGAAGTCGGGAAAACGATGGATTTTGTCATCTAACGTTGAGCTATAGGCAAAGATCGAGTCGAAGATTTTCGCCTTATCTGGCGAGGATGAAATGACCTCGGGATATTGGAAACAGACTCTTTGCTACTATTCGGAATTTGGTTGGAGATCTTCCAGAACTCTCGGAATTCAATTTATTTGTTTTCAACCTTTGCATTTTCCAGAACTTTCTTGCATCGATTGCAGACAGTTCTGAATGTAGCAAGGGTCCAACTACACCCCCCCCTCCTTGTGATAAATATTGAAGTAGTAGTTACGGTGAGTTATAGTTGCGGCATATTCAGGAGTGAATCAAGGCTGGCTGTTCGGTTTTGGCTGGAGATCTTTTTTTGGTATAAAACTTTCCATTTCAGAAAGGAACCATTCGGAAATGAGGGCAGCAGTTTTTGGAGGGAGCATGTTTGAAGAAGGTTGAGAGAGGAGCTTCCGCCATGTAAGATTTAAAGCTGTCTGTCTTCGTGTAGCAAAATATTGTTCTATAGAACGGCAAACCAGGAGGAAGTCTTTGGTTTGGTATCAACTTGGACACTGACTAGAGAATAGTCTGATGTGCCGATGGGTGGGGTTATTCTTCCGCGAATCATTTTTCAGGGCAGGATGTGAGGAAGGGGTAATACTAAGTTTAAGCCACAATATTCGAGCATCGGATAAGGATCGAACTCGCTTTACTTGAGAACCGGTTGCGAGATAAGCTTGACAATCGTCGTCCTATGTTAGCCATTCTACTTCTGAATATTTTTCTCTATATTCATAACGAAATAATATATTCATGTCGTCTCCAGATATCTGTCTTGTCCTGTCAAATTAATTTAAAAAGGGCAAAACAGTGCTAAGTTTTCAGGTAAGGAAGAGGAATAAGTTCGTACTATACAAAGGGATCCACTAATGTAACCTTGTACCGAATTTAATCTAAGTAAATGAAGAGCTTGTTAAATTTTGTCTGTCTATCTTATACTGATGTCGAAAAGAAGAAAAAACTCAAGGAAAATATGTATAAAACATTAAAATCACCAAAGAAATTAAGAAATATAGGAGGGTTATCGGGGCCATTCTGTGCTCGAATAAAAGGGGAAATTTCGATATCTTGTTTTCAGTTAAAACAAATACGACAGAAAAACAAATTCACCGGTTGAAAAATTAATGTGCAAAAGAAATGAGAGAAATTTCTGCATTGAAATTTACTGTCGAATAATCAGAAAATTAAGGTGTATTAAAGAAAGTGATTGTTTTTTTACGGTTTATCCAGGATTAAAGCCAGAAAATATTTTAGATTGTAAGAATTTTTTTTAGATAATAATGGCTTAATGATAAAAAATCTTACTAATTAACCCATAACCGGGGGAGAAGAGGTGAATTCATACCTTTCCCATGGGTATTTGAACATTAGTGAATATAACGTGCCCAACGGGAATTTGAACTCGGCTCTTCGATTAATAATTCTAAGCCATTATCTATTACACCACCTGCACATCCAAGCTTACAGTACCTGGAATTCCTTATCACCAATTTAAGTTCTGATCAGGCTAGACGTTGCTTAATTACGGTGATCGTACGGGAACCGGTGTTTCAACGAGATATGGCCATAAACCGTATTAAAGAAATAAAGGCGTCAAAGAAAATAGAGCAAAGTCCGTCGCTAAGGTTTCGACCTTCATCGAAACTCATTTAATAATAATAATAATAACAACTATGTATAAAAACGAAATAAATCAATATGTGGGGTTACCCCAATTTCGTTTGCTAAGACTCCTATAAAAACAGAACACTTCCTGTTTCTTCCTCTTTTCATGAAGTAGAAGTAACACAGGCACCTTTGAATGATTGAGCTTACACACACATACAAAATTCCTAAAAGATATTGATGTCTTTTCTTTTTAGCTATTTTTCACTCTTGTTAATCATTTATTAGCCATTGTTGAAATTTATTCCATTTCTTTTCAATTCCTTCCCCCCCTCAACAAAAAACACACACAAAAAAAAAAAAAAAAAAAAAAAACGCGAGACTGAATTAGAAATACATCTTTCACTTTGATAAACACTGACGCATCTAAACATGATAACATACTCGAAATCGGGATGTGCGTATAGCAAAATACCAACCGCAGCTTTGATGTGGCGCAAGGCCGCGTATATGGAGCACCCAGTGAGGATCGAACTCACTACTCAGTCATAAATGATCTAGTGAGACAAGCTTGCTGACCAATAGACCACGTCGAAGTACCTTGAATTACTAAGTGCAGCTTGAATGGGGCGCAAAGCTAAGGGTAAGGAGCACCCAGTGAGGATCGAACTCGCTATGCAGTCGCAATTTATCCGAGTTAGTGTAATGGTTCCAAAGCTTTTCTATGTTGAAGTGCTCGCGATGGGGTACGTGTACGATTTATTAAGCGTAGCTTAGATGTGGCACAAGATCACGAGTATAGAGCACCCATTGAGTATCGAAGTCACTATCCAGTTGTAATTAATTTAGCGAGACAAATGATTTAACCAGCGTAGCTTAAATGTGGCTCAAGACCGAAAGTATGGCGCACCCAGTGAGGATCGAACTCACTACTCAGTCGTAACTGATCGAGCTAAACAAGGTTTCTAAACATAACACCATTGAAATTCTCTCGAGTGTTTGCTATAAAATTAATACCATAAAATTTGAGCTTCATGGTGATTTTCTAAGCGTAGCTTAGATGTAGCACAAGGCCGAAAAATTTTGAGCTTTATATATTTATTTAAAATTAAAACAGAATAAGTTTTAAAATCGACTCGTCTGATGCTTTTCATTCGTCCCGTCCCAGAATGCAATTTGTTATATTAATGACATCTTGCGTCCATTTTAGCATTGAGCGGCAAACCAACGTAAAGTGACGTCCCCTACCGCTCAGAAAAAGCTATACGTGTGTGTATATATAATATATATATAAAAATAATGCCGACCGTTTCAATAGACATAGATTTCGCACTATGTCCGATTTGCAAAGAGCAATTTAATGAGCCGAAAGCTCTGCCATGTTTGCATACTTTTTGTCAAAACTGTCTTCAAGATGACATTAATCGAAGACAGCTTCAGTCTGAGAGAACGCTTACCGGTTTTCCTTGTCCAGTTTGTCGCACGCACACCTCGCCGCCGGACCCTGGTCTGGCAGTCAGCGAATGGGCAAAATGTTTTATAACTAACTTCCATATTACAAAACTGATGGACAAGACCAAATCTGAGCAGCTCCTAAACATAGGTTGTCAGCCATGTTCGCGTCACAAGAGGCGACATCTCGCGGTGTCCTGGTGCGTCAACTGCCAGGAAGCTATGTGCACGGAATGCACAGAGGCTCACGAGGTGCTCACGATGCGCTCGTCTCACGACATAAAACCGCTGTCCGTACTCGACCTAAAGAAGCTGAGCGAACAAGTGTCCGAAGATTTGTGTCACATCCACAGCAACGAAGTTCTGAAGCTCTTCTGTGAACGCTGCGAGGAGGTTCTATGTTCGGCTTGTTATGGCCTGCGACATCGGAAGTGCGATAGGGTCGTCTCCGTGAAAGACATTGTCCGTGTTAAGAAAGAGGAATGTTGGAAGATGAAGCGAAACCTGGAGATCAAGAAACGCGAAACTGAGAAACTCATGAATGACTTGCAGAAGAAGAAAGAAAAAACTGTCGCGAGTAAAGAATCGATCGTGCGAGATTTGAGGAGTATAAGGCTGGCCATGGAAAAGATGCTGGAAGTAAAAGAGAAGACTTCAGTCGAGCAAGTAGAGAAACTACACGGGGAAAGACAAAATCAATTAGATACTCTCCTTAAACAAGGAGAGTGCCTTTTAAGTTCTGTTATTACTTCCATTGAATATCTCCGTTCTTCTGCAGAGTCTAAGAAGGATACGGAATTTCTTCGCGTCTATCACAACATCAAAGCGGCTGCTTCAAAGCTGTGGAACTCGTCCATTTGTAACGGCGAAAAGGTCTCCAGTAGCCTTTCTTTCGTGCCCAGCTCAAACTTCATTTATTGTTTTAGAAAACTTCAAGATTCTTCTCTAGGAGAGGGAGTCTTGACGGACTCTTCTCAAAATCAGTCCTTATCTGCCAGTCTCGATGTCCAAGAGACGAAGCACGAAAGCGATGACGTAATCACAAAGTGGATTCTTACGCCGCCAATTCGACAGTCCCCCAGCAAACGTCGTCAACCGCCAACAAAAATTCTCGAGAAAGTAGGCGAGTTCTCTGTCAAGATAGACAACGACTCTTCTTGCCAAATAGACGACCTCTTGGTTTTAAAAGATGGCAGCTTACTTGTCACTGACTGGGCTAATGAAAAGGTGAAAAAGTTCTCTGTGAACGGAGAGTTTCTAGACCAGTTGATGGTGGGCTCTTGGCCCTGTAAAATCAGCTCCCTGACCGAAGATCGTGTAGTAATTACACTCCCGAGGACCAAAGAAATCTCTTACCTCTGCCACAAAGTTCCAATGAAGATCACGAAAATGGTGTCTGAAAAGCGATACTACGGCATCGCTGCCTTGCAAGGTGGTTTTTTGGCCTGTTCGACTTATTCCCCGCCGCAAATAGACATCCTGACCATACGAGCTGAAATAGTCTCGTCTATTTCCAATGATGTCCTAAGTCAACAGCTTCTACTTTGGCCACATTACCTAGCAACCACGAGATCAGGTGACTTGCTAATTTCGGACTATTGTAGAAAATGTCTTATCTGCGTGGATGCTACAAATGAGAAACTAAAGTTTGTCTACAAATGTGATGGTGAATCTTCATTCAGCCCTGGTGGAGTCGCTGTCGGCCATGACGGTACAATATTTGTGGCAGACACCCGGCAGAACAAGGTCTATAAATTCAACGAAGACGGCGAATTGACGGCCCTTTTTCTTTCTTTGAGTACCGGCAATTATAAGCAAACGGGGATAACAGTTGGTAAAGCTGGTACTCTATTCGTGAGCGAGGAAGCTCCTTCCGACAGTGTCAAGGCTTATCATGTCTGAACTTTCACCTGGTAAGTTAAGTTTCTACAGAAATAACTTTCTAATCATTTACTAGTGTCTATTTCGTTTAACTACCTCCTGTAAAGTTTCTTTTTTTTTTTTTTTTTTTTTTTTTTTTGTGAAATTTTGTTTAAAAACGGTAAATGCCAGGTACCAAAATTTTAAGTCTTTGAAGTTAAATTTTGGTTCTATATATTTGAATAGACTAAAGCTAATCAGTAAAGATTTACGTATCTAAAAGATTTTAGACTTTAACATTTTCTAAGCTTCCAAGAAAACTACGTTTTCGCATTAAATGACCCATAAGGAGTTGATATGCCGTTAAACAAACGAAAGCTCGTAATTTTTAGACGCTAAGCAGACTATCAACAATTTCAATAGCAAGATTGAATAATGGCGATTGGAACACTGCTACATGGTATCCTACTGCTATCCGTAGGGACAGCACAGAACTAAATTATGAGCGCCTTTAGATACTATGTCTGTCTAATCACCTGCGGGGAAAATGGCGTCGTGAATATAGGCTTTGACGGTCCCTTGGTGATCACGAATTCTCTGGCAAATGACTCCAGCGGCATCAAAAGAATAAACAAAATATAATTAACGTTATCTCCCCTCACATGAGGAATAAACTGTTTCAATACGAATTTTGGAACGTTACTCATGTCGCTGAAAAGTCTAAAATATTTTCTCCGTGTCCCTTCAGGTCGTGGGTGGCTTGACTCTCCAGATTGTTTTTTTTCGTTTAATTTTCATGACTTAGTGTCTGCATGTTGCCTTAATGACTTTTAATTCGATTCTTTCTCGCAGACCGGCTGCTACGAAGGTTTAAAGCCCAGTTTGACCTGCTACTTAACTCGCTGCTGGTCGAAGTGGATTTACTTCTACCCTAACAGAATTAGTACAAATAGGCCTGTTGAATCTGCAAGTCTAGAATTGAAGATTCAACTTTTTAGCGCTGTTAACCGTTACTCTAACCAACTATTTTCTTAAATATAGTATCTCTTATGAAGACTTGTAATCTCATTCGAGATTTTGAAGCAATATTCCGACGACTCCAAGAAGCCGTGAGACAAAATTTAAAGTAGATCTGTGCTCTTACGATGGTCGAAAGCCAAGTCTCTTGTGCTTACTTAAATTCGTGTTATTTAAATTGGTCAGTCCGTCTGCTTCTAACTAAACGCTCTTACAAATTTTAAATTAAAATTAGTCAATTGGTGAGTTGACTGTAACTACAAAAAAACGCTCATACAAACGTGCTATCCAGGCACAAACTCCACGAATGTGGCTGACACTCTTCGGCCTTAGGCAGAAAGTGTCTAGCCATACGTAATTTTATCTAATATGCTCGTAGTTTAAAGATTTTAATGCTAAACCTACCGAGTGGTGTCGCTTAACAATTCTAGTCTAAAATACTAATCGGAAATGGTGGTAATTTAAGTAATGATATCATAACGCATATAAAAAGCCTTGTTTTGAAGATTTTACTGCACAAGCTTTCTTAAAGATATAATCACCCGAATAACTATTTGTTGAAAACGTTCCCTTAAACTTTCTCTCAAGGGACCTTCTCTTTTAAAGGTCCATTGTTTAACTAGGAGGCACGGTGAAGTAATGAATAGCGACTTGGATTGAAGAATCAGAAAGCAGGATTCAAATTCCAGTCAAATCCATTACATTCGCTTATGTGCTAATATCCTTGGGAAAGGTATGAATCTTCTCCCCATCTCTATGGATAAATAACAGGACGGACCGGGTTCTATATAAAGTTGTCTTGAATGCCGGAAAAAATCTGTAAGATACATGATCGCCTAAGCGTGTATCACGCATGGCACATCATTGAATGTTTAACTAGCCTTGCTGGGGAGGGGAAGCTGCGCTCGTGCTCTTTTCGTGTAACTGTCTTCCAAATCCATTCCCGGCTGAAGTAAGCAAAATTCTGAAATCCCTTGAAAAGTAATACCCCAGTGACATGTATTAAGAACGGGTCAATCCTTTCTGAAGATAGATATTTGAATAAACACACAAACAAAACAAAACTGTCAATCCTCATGACTTTCCGACCTCATGTTAAATTTGGTGGGAGGAGTGTTTCAAGGTCGGTTCTCTCTTCTCTTTCGCTAGAAAGCGGAACGGGCTGGTCCGCTCTACTAGCTGCCATAGAAATAGTCCGGACAACGGCCTACTACAAAATGAGTTTGTACTTTGTGGTTGCACAAGCTACAAACTCTAGCAAAATGGATACAAGTTTGTATGCAAAAGAAAAACCTTCGAAAAACGTCTTCATTTATTTTGAATATAAAAAATAAACAAAAATACATACTATCTTTTTTTTTTTTTTTTTTTTTTTTTGTGTGTGTGTAGTAAATTTAATAAATAGCTATAATTTCATGAATTCAGTTGTATTCGATAGTTAAAAATTTTTTTGATCTGATCATCGGTAATGTGGTTATGGATGCGATGGATGTGTTGCTAGTCAGCTTTATCTTTTTAATATTCGAATTGATTTGAATGCTGCTGCTTCCCCGCGTCTTTAAACAGAAGGGTTTATAATAGAATTTCTCCTTTACTTTTAGATTCCTTGCCCAGCGGAAGGATCAAAGCCAATCTAATGTGTCTGGTTACGTAAAATTGTTTCCAGAACTTTCGGCAATTTCATTCGCCGTCCCTTTTTGTAATAAAACCAATCTACGAACCTCAGGTATTTCAACCTGTTAAAAACTTTCAACTTTTTCTGTTGTAAATATTTTTTTAATTGGAATTGAATTCTTTTGAAGTAATTTTCTTGTTGGACTTGTTACTGGCACATAATTTTCTGTAAATTAAAACCTTTTTGTAAATGAAAAATTCAGTGGTTCCTAACTTTAATGAAATCATTTAATGTCTGACTTCTAAATTTTGTATTTCTGAAATGTCTAACAAAGTATGTAATTATAAATGAATATCCTAATTATAATAGAAATAATTTTGACTTTAAAATGCTTTTTCAGTCAAAGCATCCAACGAGGTCCAAATGACTAAACCGAATAATTTGGCACGATCTTAAATTGTTTAAAACTTGTAGTTATTAATACTTACTGGAAGCAGCTAATATATATTTTTCAAATTGTGCAGTTTTATGAATTTCTTCGTAAATTTTTTTAACTTTTTCATTGTCAGACAAAACAATATTTTGTTTTTGAAATCGGTCTTTAGCAAGCACTCAAGGTGTTTGAAGATCAAAGTTGGGAACCGCTTGTCAATCAATGCTTCGTATATATCTTTCGTCCAACAATTTCGATGGTAAAAGTTTAACTCCAATCCTTAAATTGTTTTGACAATATTGACATGATCTGTTGCGGAAATTGAACATGGGGAAAGATTTCTGTTGAGTTACTACTTTCTAGTTTTGTCATTTTCATGATTGCTTTGTAATTCTAAATAAATTTTGTAACGTTTAATTTTTGGCTTCGTAATTTTACTAGATTTCTCACTAACATTGCTTCAACGTCAGAAATACGATTCGAAGGTTATGGTATTGGTGTAAAGTGTTGAAATAAAGGCAGAGCTTAGATTTTAAAATTTCTAACCTGCATATTTAGATCACAGAAAAACAGATTTTTACCATAACAGAAACTAATATCAGCTGAAATGTTAACTGGGGTGTTTGTGTGTGTTTTTTTTTTTTTTTACCCACACGAACCGTTTTCAGGCCAATGTTTGACTTGTTTACAAACCCTGAATCGATAAATCTCGGCAGTAATTTAACAAACGTGGCTCCAAGTGTGTTTGTTTTGTTTTTTGTTTTTGTTGGTTTTTATTTTTTTTCCACAAAATTGTGGGAAAAAAAAAAAATTGCAGAAAGTCGGCGCTTAACAATTAACCGGAAGAACATCAGTTACGAACCGGGAAACCGGTATCAAGAACTCCGGTGTCTCTGCCGGAAGAGTTGACAGGCCTACAAACTTCACCCACCAGTTTTCTTTTAGAGAAGCAAGATCGTTTTTATCCATTTAATGCTTTACATAAAAACATACTTGCTTCGAGATAAGGTTTTTTCTTTTTTTTTTCTTTGACCTACGATAAAAATGCACGACTCTTGACTTTCACGATAAGCTTCAATGTTCTAACAATTTTTTGCATAGTGATGTCCTAAAATTTTAATGCTAAACACAGTCGAATTTGACATTCAAGTGAGACTAGTTTCATAAATATAATCTGAAGCCTCTTTACAGGGTATCGTAACCCTTCGCTACTCCGTCCACGTGACCAAGGGTTGACGTTAGGTCTTCATGATCTTGACCCTTTCTTCAGTGCGTCACCCACTCTCTTCAGTTTGTCGGAGTTAACTCCTCCTTCAGTCTGTTAACCCTTTCACCAGGGGTCTCTTCCCTGGCTATAAATAGCCGCTGACTTTTCGCCTCTATCTCTTTTTCCTTCAGGCCTGTGCAGTGACACCTTGCGGTAAACTCTTTTTCCTTCAGGATTTCAGCTATCAACCTCGAAATGTAGGTGCTAACAAGGGATAGCGTGGAAATACGCTAAGCATAATACGCACGCACGCACACGCACGCACATACAGAATATACGCACACACATACAGAATATTCACGCACACTTCGTCCTTTGTACTGTTTCCATGTATTGTAACTTGTTATTAATATATATTTGTATATACATATATTATCGGTCTTGTTTTGTTTGCTTTCTTTATCTTCTACTTGATTATTTCTCTTGTCTTTGTTACATTTGATATTGTAAAAATTGTAGAGGGGTCAGTTTTTATTTCTATTTATAACCAATACAAATTGGCTGACCCACTATAAGTTCATTTAGACATATAAGCCTAATGACTTTAGTTCTTTCAATCTTCCGAACTTAGTCGAATACCTTTATAACATTTTTTTTTTTTTTTTTTATCTTGCATAGCACTCGAATTATTTCTTTCTTGATTTTAGTACTTTGCCGGACCAGTTAATATTTACACTCCCTTTCCATATAACCCGGCGACTTCTCGCCAA